GATCCTAAACCTCTTTAGAGCCTGCTGGGAAAGCCCACCGGCTCTCCTATGGCTCACGTAGCTGCTCTTAGCTCAGTCGGATGGCTTGGGAAACGGGGGGGAGAGAAGAAAAGCAACTGGCATGGGGACCCGGAGTGTTGGAGTGTGTTGGCTGCGAAACGTAGCATCACACCCCAGGGCTGCTGGGTCTCAGCTGACCACAGCCCATCCTGTCTCCGCTGGGTTTCTACACAGTGCTGGACCCTTTCCAGCAGAGAAGTCCCCTCCTACTCGTTAGAGAAAGCAGTCAGCAACATCTCATGAGCCCAAGAGGTGATCTGGGTGGTTTGATGCTCCGCAGGGCAGATTCACTACACTGCACATGCATTTTTGAGCCAGAATGACAGCACTGAAATGTGCTGCGGTCACATTAACTCTTTCTGTGCTGTATGGTCTTCTGCAAGACCTCCTGCCTCACTCGGCGACTGCGTTAGCCAGGGCCTCACTGGACCCCGTCCCTCCACGGGTGGTAGGGCTGCAGCCTGAGCTGGGGGACAGGAGCGAAACCCTATGCTAGTCCTGCAAGAGAAATGTGATCCAGGCTTCGCTCAGCCCTCGTGGCTGTGACCTCAGGTGTTTTGCAAACACTGCACATTTATTTCTGTACCCTCTGCAGGGGGTGAAGTGGTTCTAGCATCCCACTTCACGCATGAGAGACTGAGGCCCAGAAAATAAAGCCCTGAGTCTTGACTTCTCTCTAGACGCCCAGTCTGACACAAGTACTGCCCGATCTTTTAGCACCTTACAATAGCTCATCTGCTCAGAGCAGCAATCCTTCCGACTTTGGTTGTGGGCGCAAATGCCCGTTGTTCCATCTAAATAAATCCCAGGGCCTCTCATTTTGGGCACGAAGATAGGAAACAGATAGCACCCCGTGATGAAGATGTTGGCACGTGGCTGTGCAGTGTTGTGGGGAGGGGGGCCAGAGCTGCCCCCCTGCATAGGAGAGCCCCCCTCAGTGCTCCCCAGCTGCAGATTGCAGCAAGGCCAGCAGTCACCCCCTCACTGCACAGCCTGGCTCGGTCCTAAAACCCTGCTCGCCCTGGTACAGGATGAGATGGGGAGCCCACAGGCAGGGGTGAAATGCAACCGTGCCATTCATGGCTCATTCAAAAATAAACACCCAAAAGGGTTAAGCTGCTGTTAAATTAGGCAGCCTTATTTCTGGCATTTGCTGAATTTCCCAGGCGTTGCAGTGGCACTGTTTTTTCAGCTTGACGGAGGGCTGGGGAGCGCTGCAGGCTGGCACCCCCTCCCCGCAACCGGCACGGCTCCCGCGGGGACGGTCCTGTGTCGGTGTCTCGGGATTCAGCTGCATCCGGCAGATTTTTGCGCACCTGGGAAGGGGCGTCTGTGGTGTGTGACCTGCCGGGCTGGGCGCTGCTGCGGCCCCGCTGCCCTTTTCAATGGGGGAGGGACAGCACCGTCCCTGCTCCCTTTCCCCATCACCACCTTGTCCAGGCTGGCTTTGCAGCGCTGGGATGCAGCATGTCAGTAGCAGCAGAGTGAGCAGTGCCCTGCCGTGCCTCAGTTTCCCTCCCCATCAGGCAGCAAGCGTGCTCGTGCCCCGCTTCCTGACCCGGCTGCCTTGTGTCCCTGCTGTTCCCAGATTGCGGCGCGGAGGAGTCCTCCCCAGCTCCAGTGAAAAGCAAGTACGAGACCATGGATTTCGACAGCTTGCTGCAGGAGGCCCAGCTAAGCCTGCATCGGTAACAGCCTTAACCTTGGAGGAATACCTCAATACCTCAGTCAAGGCACTTCCAATATGTTTACGTTTTCAAAGAAATTATTCAGTCTATGGAAAGCGAGAGAGAGCGAGAGAGAGCGAGAGCACGCACGCGCGAGAGAGAGACTGCTGTCCCTTCCGATCGATGTTTACATTGAACAAAGCTGCTTCTGTCTGTGAGTCCCCATGGTGTTGATGTCTCACTGCCACACGTTAGTCCCCCTGCTTCTGACTGGTTGTTTTAGGGTGAGCC